GAATTAATCGGACTGGATATTTTGGATTTTTGATTTTGAGCCAATAAGTTGTGATTCTTCATTATCCATTCAATAAAGGAATATCCAAGTAAAATATTCCCACCACAATCATTCAAATGAAGTATTCACACAAGCAAAAAATCATTATTAAGGAAATACAACAGACACATTAATAATGCCCTATGAATTAACAAGTTAAATATATTTCCCAAAAGTAAGTAGGAGTGCTCTTCCTTTCAAGCCTTATGCCTTACAGTCCATAGACCTTACCTCACTAATCTTTTATTTTCTCTCGGAATTTTGTTTGAGTTGCTGTCTCAGTAGTTGCATTCTCTCTAGTCCCCTTGAAAGAGGAATAAGCCCTTGCCAAATTAGATAATCACGCAACTTTAACCTTCAGTGTCACAAATGCAAAAAATGAAATTGGCCTGGGTAAGATTGAGAAGAACCCTATATTGATTTAGTCGGGTATCAAAAATGAACTTAGTAATTAGTTGTCACGACCCGAAATCCTAACCGTGGGGTCGTGATGGCACCTAACATCCACTTTCTAGGCAAAACAACGTTAGCTATGTACTTAACAAGTTTTAACAATTTATAACAAAGTGATGATAATTAATAATTGATAAATGCAAAAATGAACACGATATTAATATAAATAATGCGGTACTAAACTACTCCCAAAAATTCGAAGTCACAAGTACATCAACGTCTAGAATACTACAAACATGGTCTGAAGTAAAACATAATACTGTCTGAAACTAGAATAACAACAAGACATGATAGAAGGGGACTTCAGGGATCACAAACATCGAGCGGCTCTACCTCAAGTCTCCTGCAGCAGTCGAATTCGAGCAGTCTCCGCTATGCGCCGCTAAGACCAACATCGGGATCTGCACAAGAAGTGTAGCATGTGCACCACCGACCCTGTGTACTCTGTAAGTATCTAGCCTAACCTTGGCAAAGTAGTGATGGGGCTATGACAATACACTCGGAATAAACCTGTACGAATAATGATTCAGGAGAGGCTTCGTATAGTGCAGTCCAGGCAGAAACGTTATGCTAATAGTAAGGTTCGTGATATGGCATTCATGGAGGGTGAGAAGGTTCTTCTTAGAGTTACGCCAATGAAGGGTGTGATGACGTTTGGGAAGAAGGTCAAGCTGAGCCCGAGGCACATTGGTCCATTTGAGGTTTTGGAGAGAGTTGGTGAGGTGGCTTAAAAGCTTACTTTGTCACCCAGCTTTTCGGAAATTCACCTAGCGTTTCATATTTCTATGCTTCAGAAGTACCATGAAGATAAGTCACATGTTTCGGACTTCAACATAGTGCAGTTGGATGAGAATCCAGTTTATGAGGAAGAGTCGTGGCCATTTTGGATAGGCAGTTTTGGAAGCTTAGGTATAAGGAAATCGCATCAGTGAAGGTCCAGTAGAAAGGTTAGCCGATTGAGGAGGAAACGTGAGAGACTGGGCATAATATATGGAGCAGATACCCTCACCTTTTTGGCCTTTCGATATTATTCTAAACCTGTTCGAGGATGAACATTTTTTTAAGAGAGGAAGAATATAACGACCCAGCCGGTCATTTTGTGTATTTGAGTCCCATTTCCCTATTTGATATTTTTCGTATGTGTATTTGATATTTTATGACTTGTGGGGTTGGGTAGATTTGATATTATGAAGGTTTGAGAGTGATTAGAGGCACTTAGTCTCATTTTGGAAGCTTAAGTTGTAAGAGTTGACCAAGGTTTGACTTTTGAATAGACGATCTCGGATTGGTGATGTAATTGTTCCAATAGGTTCGTATGATGATTTTTAACTTAGGAGTATATTCGAATTTGGATTTGGAGGTTACTAGGATGTTTTGACTCTATTTGCCAAAATTTGAAGGTTTGGAGAGTTCATAGGTATGACCGGGGGTTGACTTTGATGATATCATATTCAGATTGTTGTTCCTGAACTTGGAATAGGTTCGTTTTGTCATTTGGTACTTGTGTGCTAAGTTTTGATGTAATTCGGATTAGTTAGGCTTGAATTAGATGCTTGATTTAAAGTATGGAAGTTATTGAACTTAAGAGAATTTCAACTTGTGTTTTGATCGCCGATTCTTGGTTTCGATGTTATTTATGGAGTTTTGAGACTTTGGATAGGTTTGGGGGAGGTATTAGTACTTATTGGTATGATTGGAGGGATTCCCGGGGTCTCAGGTATGTTTCAGATGGATTCCGAACCATATTAGTAGTGGTTGGAAAATCTTGTGTTGGTGCATCGCACCTGCGGAGATGGTGTGCGCAGGTGCAAGGTCGCATCTGCGAGCAGGGGGTTCGCATATGTGAAGAGGAGGGGGCAATAACCGCTTTTGTTAAGCTAGGTGGCTTCTGCGAGGATGGTCCGCAGATACATACATCATATTTGTGAAGGGGTCCCACACCTTCGAGGTTTGACCAGTTGTGAGAAGGCTGCAAATGCGCAGATTTGGACCGCGCCTGCGAGCTCGCATATTTAGCTTATTTTTTATTATTTATAGTTTTGGAGCTCGCCTAAAGGTAATGTTTGAGTAAATTTTCATTACCACTTTGAGGGTAAGTATTTTTTTTTTTACTTGGATTTGATTATATATCTCAATTCCTATATATTTGTGCACTTGGAACATGGATTTGAAAGAAGAAAATTGGGGGTTTAACCTACAACTTAAGAGAGTGAAATTTGTGGATTTGAAGGTGGATTTGGACTTGGTTTTGGAATCTAATCACATATTTGGACTCAAGAGGTTATGCATAGTCGGGATCTACCCCTTGACTCGAATTTTGACCACGCGGGCTCGGGTTGACTTTTGTTGACTTTTAAAAATAAAATAAAGAATAATATTTTATTGTTTTGATTCATATAGTTTTATTTGATGTCATTGAGTTATTTTTGGCTAGATTCGAGCAGTTCAGAGGTCGATTCACGAGGGAGGACGTTTTTAGAGTATTGGTTTGACTTGTTTGAGGTAAGTATCTTGCATAGCTTTGGTTTGAGCTAGTTTTGGAATGTATACATGCCTCTTTATGCATATCTTCTATATATGCTATTTTGACTGAAAAGTGAGGGCATGGTACATATCTTCTCTATATGTTAAACCTGTGCATATTGACTTGATTCTTAATGCACATCTTCTCTATATGCTGATGTAGATGATCCTTTGGTGATAAACACATATCTTATCTATATGCCGAGTTGTTAAACTATTATAAGACTTGCGCACATATTCTCTATGTGCACCAATTAGGTTATACCTATATTTCATGCTTAGTTTTGGTACCACTGTTATGTACTTGTAGATTTATGAACTAAGTAGGTTGTTATGTGAGTATCTTTGGTAATTCTTGCCACTACTAACTTACCGAGATTAGTAATGATACTTACGGAGTATATGAGGTCGGTTGTACTCATACTACACTCTACACTTAATTGTGCAGATTCAGGAGTTGGATCAAGATGAGTTTTGTGAGCGTAGCTATTCGCTGTGCTTTGGAGACTGAAATAGAGCTGCTCCATGATCGTAGTTCCTGGAGTCTCTTCCTATGTTATTGTTGTTGTTTCAAACAGTATATATGTATTTCAAACTTGTATTCGTATTGTAGAGCTCATGACTCAGTATTACTAGTTCTAGGGAGTTGTATTATGATTTGATATTATCTATGGTTATTTTTCGTTCAGATTTATCTATTCTGTAATTCGTTATCATGTTTTGTTAATATTTCATGAGTGGCTTGCCTAGCAAGTGGGTTAGGCGTCATCACGATCGGTGGTGGTTTTGGATCGTGACATGGATACGATATTAAACAGAAAAAATAGCGGACAAAGATATTTAGTCGAGTGACGAACTAGTTAAGTCATATTAGTCATGAAATAATACTAAAAATTAATTATTGTATTGTTTTATCATACAAGAGCTAATCACCGACGATATGATTTATTTTAATTTTTTTTGGATACATTGCATAGAGAAAGAATAATAGTTGAAATTTTGTTAAAACAATTTGATTTAATGTGCTCAAACAAATATAATAATATTTTATTATTATTGTCTTTTATATTAACCATGCATCGTGCAGGTACTAATATTAGTATAGTGTATATAGGTAAAATTTTACCTGTTTACACAAAGCCAACAAATATAAGACATATGCTTTGTATATATAGTTTTCAATACTTAATCATAACAAATGATATGCATTTTCAGTTTGATTTGTTGATTTATGTATTTCTTTGTATTTATTAGCATATGCAGATACTACGAGAAATTACAACAAATATTGCAATGATCATAATTCATCACTTATGGCCTTGTCATATCTTGCAATTCTTTTGGGACATTTTGTTAAAATATTTGTGCTAGGTCCTACTACAGTTTGCGTGATTCAAGACAACTCTCAAACTGAAACTTTTTATCATGCGTATCACATAAAATAGTACCCCATTAATTATGTGACAATCCTAACTTAACTAAAATAAGACATAGTAGAGACCATTATCTCGACAATAATGAATCAAGTTAGTATTTTTGATAAATTTTCCCATTAAGTAATCATGCATTATGATAGGAACAATATTCAATCCTCTAAAAAATATAGCTCTTTGCCTCTTTTGATTATTTCATCCCATGTACCTGCAATAGCATTTCAGTAATACTTTTTCATTTCACTTGTTTCATCCTCACATTTTATTCATGACTTAAACGACTATTTATCCCTATTTCTGCTAGGGAATCCAACTTGTTTTGAAATAAGACATCTCATTTTAGTTTCTTGAAGATGTCCGCTTGTATGATTCAAAAAAAGGGGACGTATTATTACTTTAAAGAAAAATGTCTTACTTTAATTATGAGACCACCCATACATTACTAAGGCAGGTAAGTGACACTCATATGTTTGAATATTGTGCTGGAAGCATATTCAATTGAACATTAACCAAACCAGTACGTTAATAAATTCGATACAAAGGGAAAAAATAGCTAATTAGTGAAGGGGGTGTAACTTTGACAGTTAACACTACAATGTGAAAAAGGAAGACGTGCTTACTACTACTCTTTAGATGTGCACCCCGCCACCAAGCTAAGGTCCCATTATGCACCAAACTAAAGTTGTTCCATTCAAATCAAATTAAAATTTTCTCAATCCTTTACTTTTCTTTTTCTCTATTTCGCATTTAATCAAACAGTTGATCGTCGATCCAACTTCATTCCCAGCGATCATCGTTGACGATCATGAGAAAACGTTTGTTCTCGTCCGTAGCACCACCACCTTCTCCGATTCCCACAGGCAGAGGATCACGTTCCGCTGTCGACTCAATTTTGGGAGAGTACATTGATCAATCTATCCACGTTCCTCACTTGACTCTCCCGAAAAATACATATCGTTGGGTGCCTGATGAAATCCATTATCCATCACTTTTGCTGAGGGAAAATGATGTAATGAATAAGTTGTTGAGCTCTGCTGCTGAATTCGGAGTGGTTAGGATTATTGGTCACGGCATATCTGGTGAAGAGTTGAGAACAATGCTGACTGGGAATGAATGGTTGTTTGGATTATCAAGTGAAAAGTATGCTAATTATGATAAGTTCGTTTGGGATTGGTCTGATAACACGATGGAACAAATGGCCAAGGTTGCGATGGGGGAGCAAAATTTTCTATTTTTCCGGTAAGCTCTACAACATATCTTAATTTTCTTGTGTTTTTCTTTATTATTTGGATTTAGACCTGCCTTTCATGAAAGTTGGACCATTATACATGTAATAATCCCAATCCACTTGATCGACACTCACACACTATTTAATGACCATTATACATGTCATCATCCAAATCCTCTTGATCGACACTCGGCACACTATTTAATCCGAGTGAACCAAACCATATAGTACACCCAATCATATGCATGAAAATCAATTTAACTGCGGAAGCTATTTGAAAATCATATATATATATTCATGTTAAATAATGAAATAATTTTCAATTAAAACTACACATGAAGCCTTTATAATAATGATAAAATCAAATAAAATAAATATTTTTTTAATTATGTCGTGTACAATCCAATTACTATAATCCATCAAAGAATAGAAATAAGCACTTGGGACAATTTTTGACTAAAGAAGATAAGAATAACATGACAACTATCACGAAATATAATTGGTGCCTCAATATATATCTCGGGAAGAGTATCATCCTAATCAGGCCTGCTCATCACGTACTACACCTCATCCTAAAATATGTAAAGTAGGCGGGACACTGGAGGGAGCCCACGTGAGCTGGGTACACTGTCATAGTACTCAATAAGTATCATAAACTTTCTCTAATTCAAGCTCCTAGGAAACAAGGTTCTACAAAAAAATGCAACCAATATTTAATATAAAGCGATAAACAGTTATATCAATCATAATTTTTATCACTTTAAATGAAAAGTGAAATATAAACTATGATATAACTTTTAAAATATTTATATCAATCCATAATTTTAATAAAGATCATACAAAATTATTTCAATTTCATTAAGTCATTGAAACCACTTTCGGTTTCTTAGGCCTAAATATAAGAAAATTCTCTTTTATCTTTCATCACGAGCACTATACCGATACCGATATAATAAATAATTACTAGGTGATCAACCTAGCAATAATTATTTGACCATACTTGTTCAAGAGGCTTCTTGTAATACCATACGAGTCAACTTTACCTTATTAATTTAAGTAATAATAAATTTCCCTCTAGGGGACTTTAGGCCACAAATCGCGGCTTAGCCATGAAATGTGTTCCTACACTGTCACATTAGTTCTATGGTAACGAACTCAATATTCGAATTAATCTTGGTAGTCTCCACTAGTAACTCTCAAAATATTTAACATATAAAAAATAAATTTATAGTCTAATAGCTCAATGGATCTATTATTTTCAAATTATGATGTCCATAGTCAATCTAAATATTTTATATATATATATATATATATATATATATATAAGTTTTAAAAGAAGTTATATCACTTGCATCAAGTATCGTTTTACCAACAAGTTTTTGAAAAAAAGATTTTTTTTTTAATAAATCACATGATACTTCATATGCAACATGATTTAAAACGCATGGCGACATCATTTTTCAATTGTCCGCACAAGTACAGATGCACACTTACAAATAATGGACATATTAACTAGAAATATGCTTTAGAGAAAATCTCTCAAGAAGAGTAAGTCTTTATCAACTTATTTCACTTTCTCTTTACTAATTTTAAGCCCTCGATTTTTTTTGACATTCTAACTTTGATTAAAATTCTCAATCATCACCAACTAGTCGATATCTATAATTAGAATCACAAATATATCAAAATATAACACACAATATTTATTAATATCTATTTAGGGCTCACAAGTTCGCTACAAGTCTTCTACAACTCGAATCGTCTAGTAGGTTCACTCAGTAGCCTATTTAATTTTATTATTTTCATTTAATACTCTATTGGATTCATTAATGATAAACATTAACTACCTAATACTATCAAGTCATTATTTATTATTTTCTTTAATCATTAGTTTTTCGATTTCAATTTAGCTAACAAATTATTCAATAGGTTAATTGCATCCATCAATTTTATTTCCAAGAATATTATTTACCTTCTCCCTTATTTTCTCAAGAACACTATTCACACTATGAACTAGGCTTTTAAAATCTAACTTTTTAACCATTAAAACCTGTAATAAATGCGACAAATACTTCTAACTACTCAGAGTAAATGAGTTTGGAGTATTAGAATTATATCTTGTAGACCACTCTTGAAAATCACAACTTTGGTGATTTTTCCAGTTTTTATAAAAAATAAATTATTTTTCGGGTATGGATAATGGTCTTTTTAATTAATTAGAAGATATTTAGAATTGACCAACATGATCCCTCCGTTTAAATGAGGGATATATTTGAACCCAAAGTATGACTGCAGGGGTATAGACAACCCAATAGTATAACGAGTGGTATTCTTAGACCATTTTCGAAAGTAGATAGGTATATTTGGCCCTTTGCCGAAAAAAGAATTGGGAGGTAAGGAGACATCAGCAAAGGCTAAATGTGAAACTGACTTTTCTGTACAGCCACAGAGTGTAACTTATGTATTTTTCCAAAAAAATATGATGAAATTAGAAAATTGGGATCCACCACTGCAATTTACACGTGACAAGTTTAAGTGAGGTGTAAAAATAATAACTAAAAATAGAGTCAAATTCATTTTATCCCTTAACCTTTTAGGGTTGGGAAACAATACCCCCTTCGCGTTTTGAATGGGAAAAGAAACTCCCTTGTGCAATAGCTTTTTCGTGAAACAATTTCTTTTAATAATATTTTTTTCAATAGATAATTTTTAGAATAACCAAGTTCTTTCATTATAGCCAAAAGCAAAATATGACAAACAATTGGGATCTATATAATTTGTGGAGTTTCCCTTTAGCCTTCTTCCCGCATAGTTTAAGATATGATGTAAAGCAAAAAACGGCTCCATAATAAATTTTCAAATGTGACATTATTAACTATAATTCTTGTTCAATAAAGATATTTTCTTTTCTTTTGGTCGAAATAAGTAAAGTTTAATAATAAAGATATTATCAAAAATGTAAAGTTTAATAATGGCTTTAGTATAATAATTTTAATATATAAAGAAAATACATAAATAAATTAATACTCATAGCAGCAATTCTTTCGTCTAATATATATGTTAGAGAATTGACTATTTCAGTGTATCTTTTTCCCTTCAAATTGAATTAATGCTAAAGTATCCATGGTGAATGTGCGTTCAGCATATTTCTTGAATTTTGTATGTAAGATTTTTTTATTTATTGCAAAATTTTTATTAATGGCCTCATATCTTAAATTTTACAAGAAAGAAAGACGAAATTCAAGTATTGGTTTGGAGAAAAAATATTATACTTCACCTTTGAAAGGATAGAGAGAGAAAAAAAAATCCTTATCTTAAAAAAGAAACTCTCACCAAAAAATATATTGCATAAGGGGTTCCCTTTCCCATTCAAAATGTGAGGGGGTATTGTTTTCCACCACTTAAAAACTAAGGGGGTAAAATGGATTTTACTCTAAAAAATACAAAGCAAAAAGAAGAATCAATAAAGGCGGCTGATCTTTAAAGGGTGAACGACACAATTACCCACAAATATAAAACTATTTACCCTTGCCTACCCATTTATTTTTCTACCCATCAAACTAATTACTTTTCTTACCCATAACAACTTTTGTGAGTAATTTCTTCTTTTTTCTCCTTTTCTTTTTTATTTCTCTGCTTCTTTTCTCCTTTTTTTTTTTCGTTTTCTTCTTATTTTTTTATTTTTTCTCTTTTTTGGTTCATTTATTTTTTTCCCAAATCACATTATTATTATTATTATTATTATTATTATTATTATTACCATAATTTAATTTCACACTCAAATTTGGCTCCTTATTTATTTTTTTTCTTTTTTTCTTTTGTTTATTTTCTTTATTTCATGTTCCTTTTCTAATTTTATTTAACTCCTTTTTTTCTTTTTATTTTTTTTCTCTTCATAATCTAATTTTATTTGTTTTTTCTCTTTTTTTATTTCTTCTTTATTTATACAGTAAGAAAAAAATAACTGATATAGTTAATATTTGTTCACCTTTTTTTTTTTTTTTAATATAACTGGTATAATATATATTTTATCTTTTTTTTCTTCTTATTTTCTTTGTTTAATTCAATTATTAGAACAACTTATATATTATAACAATTNATAATCTAATTTTATTTGTTTTTTTTTTTTTTTTAATATAACTGGTATAATATATATTTTATCTTTTTTTTCTTCTTATTTTCTTTGTTTAATTCAATTATTAGAACAACTTATATATTATAACAATTTTCTCTTCTCTTTTTTTTCTTTTTTTCTTTTATTTATTATTATTTCAAATCATTATTTTATTTCCATTTTTTTCATAATCTAATTTTGCACACATTTTTTGCTCCTTTTTGTGTTCTTTTTATTTATTTGTATTTTTTATATATTTATTATTAAAAAATAACTTACTTTAGCATATAGTATATCAAAAATAGTATATTAGTAGAAAAATATATTGTTACATTATATCATATATTGTAATAGTATACTGTGCAATTAATTATACACTATTGAATTAAATATTATATACCAAAACAGTATATAATATGTTATTTTGGTAGTACAAATTAGTTATCTTCACTAGTTCAACTTAATTTCAACCTAAATTTCAAAACTTTACTCCAGAATTTCCATCAAATTGACTCAAACTTTAGCCACTAACCTCCAATAAAATATTTCAAACTAAATATTTTGGTTTAAGAAAAAAATAATAAAATATAAAAACTCCGTTGAAAAGTTAAAAAAGAACTCAATGAAAATTTCAAAAAATTCTAAAAGGACCAATCTGTAATAGTATATTGTTACATTATATAGTATGCTGTAACAGTATACCACTGACTATATGTTCCAAACTGTTGAACTTTTATTTGGGCCGTAGCTTAATCGATAAAATTGCAATTCTAGTTAGAATCCTTTCACTCTTAACCAGAGGTCTCGAGTTCGAATCCTGAAAATGAAGAACTTCTTGTAATACAAAGATCCTTACCCTCATAGAGGGCTTACCCGATACGAATACGTATTAATCAGCCAATACGTTTCGAATTCCGGATGACTAACTAAAAAGAAGTAAAGTTATAAAAAAAGTATTTTTTTATTCTTGCTGTAAACAACTTTATGTTCTGTTTTTCTTTTAATTTCTTTATTTGATTTAAAAAAAGAAGAAGATTGATAATGATATATTTAATTTTGGTGCAGGCAACAGTTGGAAGAGGTATTGAACAAACTAAAAGGAATAGCAAAAGAAGTGGATGAAATAATCAGATCGAGTGAGAGTGATCAATCTTGGAAGAAAATTGAAGCAGAAGAAGTAAAGATGTACATATACAGATGCACTAAGAACCAATCCAGTAGCATGGACCAAACTTGGCTTCCACCCCACATTAATGCAACACTTGAAGATTCATTTAAGTATGCTTTGAACCTTTATCTCCCACTGGAACCACTTGAATTCTCTGTGCATTCAAAACGTGGTCGATTGCCGTTTAAGACCAGCCCAGACACAATCATTGTCACTATTGGACATCAACTTGAGGTATTTATTCTCTGTGCATTCAAAACGTGGTCGATTGCCGTTTAAGACCAGCCCAGACACAATCATTGTCACTATTGGACATCAATTTGAGGTATATATATATAATTTTCTTATTATTATTATTATTATTTAATTTGCAGAGTGTTAACTAAGTACAATTATTTAAGAAAAAATAAAGAATAGTTTAGACAACTATTCAAATGATTAAGGCTATTAAATATATTTGTACGTTAAAGGGTGCAAAGACCTTAAACATCAGATAATATAGACTAGAGGGGANCCCTCCCCCCACCAACCCCTCCCGCTCCCAAAAAAAGTTCTTACAAGCATCGTCTGATGTTAAAGAAAGAGAAAGCTTCAACACTCTGTTAAATGAAGCTTAGCATGAACTAAGATCAAACAATGATTGAAAAGCAATTTCTGAAAATCAATTTGTAAAAGAAAGAATGCAATGTTATGTGGACATCCTGATATGATTAAACTAAAATTGTTCCTTGTAATAGGAATGGAGTGATGGGAAATTCAGGTCAGCAGATGGAGAAGTAGCACTGAAAGCAAATCTTCACATAGATCAAGCATTATTATCCTTGGAGCTCAAGTGGTCATTCACTAACTTGATTGATGACGCCTATAAAACACAAAAGAGAATTACCCTATCTGATCAGGTTTTAATTTTAGTTATATTAATCTTAGTATACAGAATGTTTCTGTTTATGTGCACAAATAATTAAATAATCTAAAAAAATTAAGTAATAATTAAATTATCTTCCTTTGGAACGTACGGCGCCGAAAAATTTCGTTTCATTTTTTCTATTTTTTCTTTCTTCTTCCTGTTTTTATTCCTTAATTTTTTGCTGTTATGTCATGTATATAGTGTGTGGTTTTGTAAAGGAAATGATGTACCTTAAAACTGGGATTTGTAAGACATTAAGTGCTAAAGGTTGTGGCGTGTGGTTATTTTGCTTCTTTTTTGATTCTTTATATAGGCTTAGTTTTGAGCATATATCGTTCCACACGAAGGATAGGGATTCGTATGTCCAACAACACTAAGAATGGAACCATAGGCTCAAATTAATAATGAGAGATTTTCAAGGTATAGTTCTAACTATCTTAACTCTCTGTTCCTTATATGCTATAGTTATTAAAGTCTCTTGAGGGTGGGAATGAGCGATTAGTTTTAATTTGGAGCTCATAATCGATACTATTGAATCTGCCATTCAAGAAATATCACTAGTTCTCCGAATAAGAGCGGTGAGACTTCGTGACTTTGAGGGAGGTATAGCCTAGTCCTAAGCCTTTTTAAAATAGAATGCTTCTTTGACAGAGCTTTAATTCAAGCGTAAAAAGAAGTGCTTCGAATCATTGCTTTGACTCGAACATGTTCAATTGAATGACCATTGCTATAACTTTTTGGTTTGTGTCCGAGTGACAAATTCAATCAACTCGAACTTTTATAACATCATTAACCGGGTTGTGAACTGCCCAATATCTTGAAGCAAGTTGCTCATTTGACAGACCTAGCTGATAATTAGGATTATCTTCACACATTTATCAGGTCTTATTGGGAATTTTGTTAAGCTTGTATATGTTTGGAAGATTCATGAACTAGATCAAATGCTATTTTTGGACTTCTAATACTAAATTGCTATGTCTGTTGCGTAAGATATGTGTAAGTTCAAATACTTTTAGCAATTTATAAGGTTTATTTAACTACAGGTCGAACCAAGGCTTATTTTAAGTTGGCAAAGTTACGTGCTAATAACGCCAAAGTCACGTCCACAACCTGCATGACCCGTTGTTATTTTGATTTTTCGCTCAGTGTCTAATTGTAATGATTTTACCGCTCGTTTTGAGTACTAGTTTTTTTTACCTGTATTCCGAGACCCCTCATAACTTTATTTGATGATTTATGAATTGCGTGTGTAGTCCGCGTCATTTGTTTTGGAAAACTTACACGTAAAATTTTGAAGAAAATATAATTTTTAACTTTAAAAATAATTAGAGTTGACCACGGTCAATATTTTTGGTAAATGGCATCGGATCGGTGTTTTGACGATTCCGGTAGGTTCGTATGATATTTTTGGACTTGTACGTATGTTTGGTTGGGGTTCCGGGTGACCCGAGCGCGTTTCGGTGCATTATGTGAAAAATTTAAAAAATGAGTTTTAACTTGAAAATTCTTGAGTTTTAATGGTCGCTTCTTGATATTTGATGTTATTTTGATGATTTGAGTTAGCGAGCGAGTTTGTATGATATTATTACCCTTGTGTGCATGTTCGGTTTGGGGTCCGAGGGGCTCGGTTGAGTTTCAGATGTGTTACAAAATGATTTTGGACTGTTGAGGAATGATGGTGCATCAAGTCTGCAGATCTCGCATTTGCCATGAATTGATCGCAAATACGGGCCTCACATTTGCGTGATAATGCTCGCATTTGCGATACTGAGAAGGGGCAGGAGACTTCGCTAATGCGAAGTCTGAGGCGCATATGCGATAGTTGGGTTGATCGCATTTGCGACACTGGCCAGATTGGGGAAGCTTCACAAAAGCGAAGTTTGGACCGCTTCTTGTTCGCAATTATGATATTTGCAGTTGGGTGAAATGTGAAAATTTCGGGTCTTAACTCATTTTTCAAGCCTAGACTTCATAGAGGCGATTTTTGAAAAGCTATTTTTTTCCAAATTCATTGGTAAGCAACTTAAACTTGTTTTCAATCAATTTTAATTACTTTTTCATGAATTTTAATACAAATATATAAATTCCAAAGTAGAAATTAGGAGTTTTGGTAGAATTTTAGGGATTTTGTAAAATTGAGATTTAGACCTCAAATTGAGATCGAATTTCAAAACAAATCACATATCCGGGCTCGAGGGTGAATGGGTAATCAGAATTTGTTATGAATCTTGGATTTCGACTATGTAGGCCTGGGTTGATTTTTTTGTTGACCTTTCCAATTATGATCAAAATTGAACTTTTTTCATTCGTGGATAGTTTCTAAAGCTTGTATTGAATTGTTTGAACGATATTTGGCTAGATTCGATTGGTTTGGAGGCTTGTTCTAAAGGAAAAGTTGTGTTGGGATGTTGATTGTATTCCGGAAAGAGGTAAGTGTCTTGCCTAGCTTTGTTGAGAGAATTTTTCCTACTAAATGATATTATTTGCTACATGCGTCAGTGACGCATATACAAGGTAACAAGCGTATATGCATGTGCCATGGTTTTCATACTCGGGAGGGGGAATTATATGCTTCTTTGTGCTTTGTTGGACTTGGTAATCCCTCAATTTACGCTTCGCTTGATTTTATGACCGATGACTTTATTTATCTATGTTAGAGATCATGTTAGGGCGTATGGTTTCTTAAAAGGATTTAACATGCCGTTTTGGAGACTAATTTACATTCTTAACTTAATCGGACTATCATGAACCCATTTCTACACCTATTATTGTTATATTACTTGAGCTTCTTTATTCATAACAAGAAATGATGATTGGGGCCTTAGGGCAATGTTTGCACGATGGGTATTTTCGTGCGGTTGATATAATGTTGCCACGATGAGTATTTTTATGCGATTTGAAATGTGATTGACTTATTGGTTGTTACCGTGCGAAAAGAAAGGAAGTTGGATTTCAGTTATGATTACTCGTTCGTTAGTCATGTGCATGCTCTCTACCTTGGTTTCCATCTATATTATCTGCTTTGTATGTTACGTTCACGCTGGTGTTCTTTATGGAGTTTATCTCTATGTTTCCTATTTGGCCTCTTACTATATTATTGAGGTTCTTGCCTTGTTTATTACCGTTACATCTACGCTTTTACTTGAGTTATTACTGCGATCTTCCCTTACTTAGGTCATGCTCTTACTTGTTGCTATCCTTTACATGCATGATACACGCCCTTAATTGTCTTGTGATTTACTTGCTAGATGTCATAACCTGCTACATGTCTTCACTTACTACATGCTTTCACTTACTTCATATCTTCACTTATTATATACTTTTACTTACCATATGCCTTCATTTATTATATGCATTTACTTGCTACATGCCTCTACTTGCTACATGATTTCACATATTGAATGCCTTCATGTGATTCCTGTTCTTATCTGACAAACATCTTTACTCGTTTCATGGTCTATGTTTCTTTGCTTAGACAGGTTGAATGACTTTTAGATTGGTTGTGTGTTATGCGTTGTGGAAGCTTTGTCTTTATGTGAGAGACTAGCTCTGGGATATTGTGTTACTCATCTTACTTGGTTAAAGTTTGTATTCCCTAGTTAAATTCCGCGTGTTCGTTTCTTGGTGTTACGTTGTGAACTCTCCTGTGCTTGGTTGTTGTTGAACGATTTCATACGAGCGGTATATAATTAGGGATCGGGTTACACGCCACAATAATATTAATTGATATTGGGATCGGGATGCACGTTGTAACAATGTTAATTGATATTGGGATCGGGTTGCACGCCTCAACAATGTTAATTGATATTGAGATCGGGTTGCACATCGCAACATTGTTAATTCATATTTGGACCGGGTTGTACACCGCAACAATGTTAATTGATATTGGGACCGGGTTGCATGCCGCAACAATATTTATTGATATTGAAATCGGGTTACACGTCGCAACAATGTTAATTGAGATTGGGATCAGATTATACGCCGCAACAGTCTTTGTTAGTGATGTTTGGTTATGATCATTGCGCGTATTTCATGATTATTGTTTTCTTCGTAGAAATGGTTATGAGGTTATGTCTTATTTTCCATGTATGTTAACTTGCTCTATAGCTGTCCAGTTGATGCTCTCTAATTACGCCCAACTATGCCTTATAAAAAGGACTAAGCGGTTGTTACAAATATAATCTGGTTTAAGAGTCCGGAGTCGAATCCCATAGAGAACTAAGGTTTTGCTGTAACTGTCAAGTATCACTAAGAAAACAAGCTCAAACAATTTCTAAACTGCAAATATCAATATTCTTTTGTCTAACTAATTACTTAACAAATTAAAATAGTAAATTAATAACTAAAGATACTAAGGGTTGGAGACAAAATTAAGGAGAAGACTAGAGTTGTGACTCCCCCAATTGTTGGAATCCTTCCCGCGACGTCTCCTATAATTTTGCCTAAGTATTCTCTACCGATCGTGAGTACTTCGGGTGTCGTAATTTATTTGCCGAGCAACTACCACAATTTACTAGACGTATTCTTCCGAACTATGCTAGCTGGCACTAGTTCGCCGCTCACCAAGATCGCACCAAGGTTTCGTTATTCCTAACACCTTTAAATCCTCCGTATTGATTTCTCACATATGTTAGGAGTAATGTTGTTCAACAACTACCTAAATATGTATCCTTTTTCCAAGCAATACATACTAAATAGGCACAATTAATTGATGGCCCTTCAATCAACTAAGATAATCACGTAGTTGAACAAGTAGAGAAAATCCAAGGGTAAAATTATATTAAACGCAACAGAAAATCATCCTTCAAAAGGTTCCATAAAACCCTAGATGAGAAAGTTTAGCTACTCATAACCATACTAACAATCAAGATAATAATTGAAAGCATTAAAATACAGATTAAGGAAGAATGGAAGGGAAAAACTCTTGCGATTCGTTGCTTCTAAGCATTCCCATAAACTTTTTCCTTTCCAATAATGTCTAACAAATAATGTCTCCCCCCTAAAAAAGGTTTAGAACCTAGGCGAATTAAGACGAAATCTGCCCTTGGGCGTCCCGCTTTGCGCCTGGTGCGAACCTGGACACCTAACATTTGTGCTCTGCTGCCCTTGGCGTTTTGGTTGGTGCCTGGTGTGAACCTGAGCACCAAAGTCATACTTCCTCCAAATTCTTCCGTTTTTACTTCAATTTGCATGCAAAGTTTTCAAATCACTTCCAATTGACTCATACACATATAAATACCATTATTAAGCTCGAGTCACAAATATTCACACTAAAGTTAACAAGACCGAGGCA